TATTGAATATTAATATTTGAAAAAATAACAGTTGTAACATGTTTAACAAAAATAATAACATTGAATATTGATATTTCAAAAAAAATAGTTACATTCAATATTAACAGTAACATGCTCAACAAAAAAATAATAACATGATCAACAAAAAAATAACAACATGTACAACAAAAAGATAGTAATTTGGAAAAAAAGTTGTACCGATACAACGTCGTATTTTTCACAAAAATACCTAATCAACTAAATCAAAATCCAAATCGAAACCTCGATCTTAGTGCACTTTACTCATGGAGTGAATTCACCAAAGTTAATTCAGCTCATAAGTAAATTCAATCAACTTAGCTCTTGCAAATTTTCAGTTGCCAAATAAATTCAGTTGAATAATTCGGTACATAACGCATAAAGAGAGAAAGAAGAAAGAAAACCTTAAGCGAGAGGCAGACGAGGAGGAAGAATCGTTGTTCAAGAATTTGTCGGCATAAGAGTCGGCACCGACATGTTGGAATTTAGAGGACTATCACACACTCACAAAAAATATACTGGAAAAGACTATTGAAGATAGAAAAAACTCTTTCTATTCACTCATATTTAAATGAATGTATTATATAGGATATATATAGACTCTCATATATAACACATGGTATACAAAATAACCCCTCTATATAATTCAATAATAAAAATAATAAAGACATTCATTTAAATACCACAATTATTTGGAGAATTAAAATACCACAATTACTTTGCCTCTCACTAATACAAAAAACTAAATTCATAAAAATAACTCCTAGAACATGAAAAATTATATTTATTTTTATTTTTCCAACACCCCCCCTTAAACACGATTTTTCTTCTCAATTCCAAGCAAACTTCTCAATTTGCAAAAGATATCCTCTTTTAGGGGTTTAGTGAAAATATTAACAATTTGATATTGAGATTTCACAAACTTGAGCTTCACCTCTTTCTTGGTCACATACTCTCTAATGAAGTGGAACCTTGCGTCAATATGTTTACTATGATCATGAAACACCGAATTTTTTGCCAACACTCGTGCCGATTTGTTGTCAATAAAGATCCCCGTTGATTCTTCTTGGGGCAAATGAAGCTCCTTCAACAAATGTAGTATCTCCCATGAAGAAAACATACTTGGTAATATTTTTTCTATCATCCATATCTCCAGCTTAATCACTATCACAATACCCCGCAAGCTTGAAATTATTAGAACAAGAATATAACAATCCATAATTAAGTGTATCTTTGATGTATCTAAGAATTCATTTCGCCGCCTTCAAACGGGTCATGGTAGGAGCTTCCATATAGAAACTTAAAGACCAACACCAAAAAAGAATATCCGGCCTTGTCCATGTTAAGTACCTCAAGCTTCCAACTAGGCTCTTGAAATGGGTCGAATTCACATGCTCTTCATATTTTGACAATTTTACACCACATTCAACAAGTGTTCATAATGGCTTTCAATCTTAGATCTTGCCAAAATTGCTTTAACAAAACTTTCTTAAGAGATGAAAATACCTTCCTTAATTTACTTCACTTCAATGCCAAGATAGTATGACATAAGCCCAATGTTAGTGATCTCAAATTCTTTAGCCATTTTTCTCTTGAAATCTTGAAACATTCTTGGATAATTTCCTATGAAGATCAAGTCATCCACATACAAACAAACATAGAGTATATTACCATTATCATTCACCTTTGCATAAAGAGCATATTCATGGAGAGACTTGGTGAAATTATTTGCTTGAAAGTACTTGTCAAGTCTACTATTCCAAGCCCTTGGTGCTTGTTTCAAGCCACACAAAGCCTTTTTTAATTTTAAGACTTTCTCTCCTTACCATTTCACAACATATCCCGAGGGTTGTTCAATATACAACACTTCAACAAGAAAGCCATTCAAAAAAGTGGACTTCACATCCATTTGGTGGATTTTCCAATCATTTAGAGCGGTTAAAGAAATAATCAATCTAATTGTTTCTAAACGAGCAATGAGTGAAAATACCTTATCATAGTCAATACTCAGTCTGTGACTATAGCTTTTTACAACCAGTCTTGCGTTATACCTCTCCACTTTACCTTTGGCATTTTTCTTTGTCTTGTACACCCATTTCACTCCAATGGCCTTTTGTCCTCTAGAGAGTGTGGGAAGTTCCCATGTTCAATTTCTTTTTATGGCTTCAATTTTTTCATTCATGACACTTCTTTACTTCTTGTCTTGTGCCGCTTTCTCATTTCCTACGGGATCACAATTAGCAAATAGACAAAAGAGTGTTAGATCACTAAATCTTTGAGTTACCTCATCGATTTCTTCATAGATATCTCAAATACTCCTCATGCAAGGTGACCTTTCACTTGAATTTGCTATGGATGATGATGGAGATGTTTGCACATTGGTGGGTGATGGTGGTGATAGTGGAGGAGAATAAATGGGCAACTTCATGATCTCATTGGGCTCATCCTCTTCTTCAAAGAATGGGAAAAAAATCATATTCTTCTTGTGAAGCGTTGAAATCTCATTTATCTTCTTCACCATACTCAACATCTATACAAATGATTATCTTGCCATTGCTTGGGTAGTAAAGTTTGTAACCTTGACTTCTTGAATCATAGCCAATGAAGACAAAATTTTCACTCTTGTCATCTAGTTTGGTCCGTTTTTTTATCCAGCACATGCGCATAGCATACACTTCCAAAGACCTGCAAATGAGAAACATTTGACTTAATTTCTCCTCATGCTTCTTATGATGTTTTGTCTTAAACACTTTTAGTGGGACACTAATTTAACAAGTAGGTGACACAATCAATAACTTCTACCCAAAACTTCTTGGGTGTTTTCTTACTCTTCAACATACTCCGAGTCATGTCAAGAATGCTTCGATTTTTTCTTTCAGCCACACCTTTTTGTTTTGATGATCTTAGAATTGTTAGAGGATGGTGAATTCTATTTTTTTTAACAAAAATATTTGAATTCATTTGATGTGAATTCACCTCATCTATCAGATCTAATTGCGTTAACTTCATACCAACTTTATCTTTGAATCAAAGCCTTAAACCATTTGAAAACACCAAATACCTCTGATTTTGTTTTAGAAAATAAATCCCTATTTTTTGGCTAAAATTAGCAATAAATAAAAAAAAAATGCTGGTTCTTACCAAATGACGCTGGGTCTATAGGGCCGCAAACATACAAGTGAACAAGTTGAAGTAGTTTGGTTGCTCTTGAAATGAATTCTTTGGGAAAGCTCTTTCTAGCTTGCTTTTCAATTAGATATCCCTCACAAAGTTAATTAGGGTGGTTGATAGAAGACAATCATTTCACCATCTTCTTTCTAGACAACAAAGTTAGTCCTCCCAAATTCAGGTGTCCAAATCTCAAGTGTCATAACTAAGAAGAATATTTAACACATGCTTTCAAGCATTTTGCCACATCACTTTGAATATTTAATAAAAAAATTCTATTTCTTTTCATTGGCACTTTAACAACTAAATTTTCATTTCCATCTCTTATTGAAAGATTAAGATTTTTCGTACAAATATCTTAACCTTTCTCTAAAAGTTCCTCTAAGCTCAAAATATTATATTTCATGTTTGGCACATAAAAAATACTAGAAATAACTTGGTGCCTTTCATTTTTCAAACGAATCAAAATATTATCTTTTCCCATTATCGGAATTTGAGAAGAATCTCAAAAAGTGACTTTTTCACTCACCGATTCATCAAGCTCCGCAAAACATCTCTTTATTTCCACACATATGATTATTAGCATCGGAGTCGAGGTACCACACTTTCTTGTCTCCATTTTGCTCTTCTTTGTATATCAACAACAAGGTCGGCTTTACTTCTTCAACTTTGTCTTCAACAAAGTGTGCTCTTTTTTTTACAAAATTATTTCTACACTCGGAAACAAAATGGTCATATCGGTGATAATTATAACATTGAATATAAGACTTGTCATACCTCCTTCCATATGACTTTGAATTGTTGCCTCTTCCACGTCGTCTTCTTCTACAGTGTGATTTTTGACTTTTTCTTCTTTGTTGGACGTATTTTGGCCAAAGTTTTCTCTTTTACCTCGACCATGTCTACCATGAAGTCCATGTCCACACCCTCTACCTCTCTGACTTCCATCTTGTCTTTGTTCTTTTTTTTTGAAAGAAAGCTTGGTTTGTAGCACTTTTTCCAACAACTCTTGCTTCTTTTTGCCTAGTCATTTTTCATGGCTAACAACGATCTCATGAGTTTGTCAATTGTTATTGTGTCTAAATCGTTAGACTCTTCAATGGCTACGACAATATATTTAAACTTGGGGTCCAACAAACAGAGGATTTTTTCTATCACTTAGGTATTATTATAGTGATCATCACCATAATTTCTCAAATTATTCACAACCACCAAGATTCTTGTGAAATAATCTGAAACTAATTTGGATTCCTTCATAAATAAAGCCTCAAATTCACCTCGTAGAGTTTGGAGGCAAATTTTCTTGACTTTTTTCACTCCATTTATGAGCGATTTTATGAACATCCCATGTTTGTTTGGATGTGGTTGCACTAGCAACCTTTTATAACATAGCATCATCCAATTATTGATGGATGAGTGAAAGAGCCTTTTGATCCTGCTTTTTTGCAGCTTGCAAGATTTTCTTTGGGCTTGACTTAAGGAAGCTTCATCTTGCAGTGTTGTGTAACCAACTGTTATAATCTCTTGTAAATCTTGAGATCCAAGAATCGCCTTTATGTGGATACATTAATTCTCATAGTTATCTTTAGTGAATCAAGACACTTGAAATGAAAGTTTTTCATTTGACATCTCTCTCACTTTCTTTTTTTCGACACTCGGGTCTAGCTCTGATACTACTTTATTGGAATCTAAAGGGCTATCACACACTCAAAAAATATAATGGAAGAGACTAGTGAAGATAGAAAAAACTCTTTATGTTCACTCATATTCAAATGAATGTATTACATGAGATATATATAAACTCTCATATATAACACATGACATACAAAATAACCCCTCTATATAATGCAATAATAAAAACAACAAAGACCCCACTCCTCCATTACTTGGAGAATTAAAATATCACAATTACTTTATAGCCCACTAATACCAAATTAATGACCCACTAATAGAAAAAACTATAAACATAAAAATAATTCCTAAAACATGAAAAGTCATGTTTATTATTATTTTTTCAGCATGACATTACATAGGTTGCCACAACAGTCATGGGAAACCCATTTGAGAGATCACAAGAAGATCAACAACACCAATAACATATAGCATACCAGATCCGAAGTAATAAACTAAGAGTGCCAGACTTCGAGCCGCCACCACCACCATTAGTGGCTATAGATGAAGAAGAATCCAGTGGAATTCCGGTGCATGAGACGGCGGGGATGTTCGTCAGAAATGTTCAATTTTCCATCTGGGTCCGCAACAACTGCAGAATTGTTGTGGATAACTATATACCGCCAAATTATCGGAATCCACGACCAAATGTGATCTATTAAAAAATGAACACATAAACCAATAACAAAATAATAACGTGGATCATGAATTTGAATTTCAAATTTATGGTCAAATCATATGAGTGTAAATTAAAGGTAGAATTAAAGTGTAAAGAATCTAAGCGTTTCTCAATTAGGAAACAAAATTAACGTTTAATACTATCGAAACATTATATGAAGAGCATTTTGGAATTTTTAAAAAATTGTGAATTGAATTACTTATTAGTAAGATGAAAAATGGACTTATTACCAAATAAATTTTCTTGTAGACTCAAGTCATTATCAGTCCCATAAGGAAGACTTAGCCCCAATTTTTACATTTTTTTTTCTCATCATTAACATAGTAACAGTGAAGTAAAAAAAAAAAAACCCAACACTCAGTGGGCCATAAAGTGAGCTAAATGGCAATTTATTTTGGTGGCTTGGTGTTCATACCTCTTCAGGCTTTGATTTCAAATCCAGTCCTCCCTCATTGTTGCCCATCATTTCTGATCAATTTCTTCTTGATGACCAGCAACTTTGTTACAATTTCTTTTGTGTTCAGCCTTTCATTTGGAATTTCTACTGAACACGCAAGTCCAATTCCAAATATTGAAATCAAGCCCTCCAGAATTTTGTGACTACAAGAACTTCTCTCTTCATGAGGCCAAGTTTTTGTGCTTGTCTCTCCCACTTCGTCGTGTCGAAGAAGTCCTGGATCAACAACATCCATTACTCTTTCCGGCAAAGCCATCCTAACATAATTATGGAGGTTCAAATTGTCATCAAACATCTCATCAGTAGGTCTCTTTCCAGTAAACATTTCCAACAATATGATTCCATAGCTGTACACGTCCCCGTGCATCGAAAGCTCACTTCCCGTGCCATACTCTAAAATCCAAATTCAACAGTGTCAAAAAATTAATGTGAAGGAATTTGAACGGACAGTCTTAATTAGCTATGTACTTTTTACTCAAAAAGAAAATTGCATCTGTAAACTAGTACTACCATCACTTGTTGCCATGTTTGGCATATATGATTTGGATAGTTTAATTTTGGAAAATTAGCACCAACGGTTTTCCTTATGATTTTGCAGCAAAATACAGAAACTGTGTAATTTGTTTTAGAACTACTCATCCATTAAATTATCAAATTTAAAACCAGATGGTAATGATGGGAGGGGCGGGAAAAAGTGTGTTGAGGGAACTATATGCTAGGTCGAAAGATGTAATTATATCGATGTGAGACAACGTAAATAAAATTCAAGGAAGAACTACAATATTTATTGTTAGTTTGTCGTCTGAAGATATCATTGTGTAGTGCTTTATTTCTTTCATAAAAATGTCATCATTATTTTTCAGTCCTGTGGGACTAAGACAAAACTGGGAAAAGCATGAACTAGAGAAGTAAGTCAAAGCTGTACAAAAGTAATAGGATGCAAGAATTAGAAGGAGATTAATTTTTGGGAGAGGTAGGTTTTTTTAGCATAAATGTGGGCATACAGGTTTTTGTTCTTTAGAGAAGGTTGTTTAGAAATGCTTCTAAGAATTACTACTATCAAAAGTAAAAATAGAAACATGTTTGATTTATTTTTTTGCATGGCTAATATATATATATGCATTTAACATATAAATAATATATTTATATATAAGTATACTTGTACTATACTGACTGTGATTAAGTTTCAAGTGTTAGAGCACACTCTCGGACAAAAGCTACTTACAAAATGTACTTAAAAAGAGGAAAAAAAGTGGGCATAGAGTATTATTATTTAAACATTAGCCTCTTATAATTAGAGGAGCACACATTTTGGGGGGTAGGAATTTGTTGTATGTTTTGAAAAGTAATGAAAAAACGAAGAAAGCATACTTACCTGGCGCAACGTAACCAATGGATCCTCTTACTCCAATAGAACTACTAGTTTGTTGTGCAGAGTTGCTACAACTAGCATTCACAAGAAATCGTGCTAACCCAAAGTCACCTACATGTGCAATCATATCGTTGTTTAGAAGAATGTTGCTTGGCTTTAAATCACAGTGAATTATTGGAGCGTGGCAATGATGGTGAAGATAATCCAGAGCGCAAGCTACATCTAAGCCAATATTTAATCTCTCAAGAAGACTTAAATTTTTGGGTTGCTCACTTGGCTCATATTCATCTTGAATTTGATGCAACCACTCATCTAAGTTCCCATTGACCATAAACTCATAAACCAGTGCCTTAAAATCATTCCCTTGGTAATCGACACCTGAACATGCAGTGACTACCTTGACAAGATTTCGATGTCTGATGTTCCTCAAGGCCTTGCACTCAGAAAGAAAACTCTTGGAAGCCCCTTGGTGAGAAAGGTTAAGTACCTTCACGGCAACCACACTTTCATTTCCATCCTCGTCATTAAGAAATCCTTTATACACAGAACCAAAACTGCCCACACCGATTATATTTTCTAATGAGAACCCACTGGTAGCTTTAAGGAGACTTTGATAAGACACTTTAAAGAGGGAATTATCTGGCAAACTTGAAGATATCGCTTTTCTTGACTTCCTAAACCAGTAAAGATAGATAAAGGACAACGCCAAAATTACTCCTAGAAACCCACAAGATAAAGAAACTACTAATTTAACAATGAAAGTTGGCCTACTTTTCTTCAACTCTTTAACCTTGCATCTAGGTAATCGTAATTCAGGCACACCCCCACAAAGCTTGTTGTTTCCCATAACCGAAGTTGCACTGGCATTCTTAAAGATTCCTTTCATTGGTACCTCACCATCAAAGTCATTAAATGATAGGTTTAATTTCTTCAACTGAAAGCTTGCTAAATATTGTGGAATTTTGCTAGACAAATTGTTGCGTGAAAAGTCCAATTCTTGAAGACCTCTCAAAAGACTTAAAGATGAAGGCAAAGGTCCTTGGAAGGAATTGCCCTGCATGTTTAGGATTTCCAAACTTTCACAACTACCAATTGTGATGGGAATTTCACCTGATAACATGTTCTCAGAAATATCCATTATACCTAAATTTCTTAAGTTTCCCACCTCCATGGGAAGGGAGCCACTCAAATGATTTTGAGAGAGGTTCAGATACACCGATAAGGATGAGAGACCAATAACTTGATGGGGTATGGTACCACTAAGATTGTTGTTAGAAAAATCTAGTAGTAACAAATTCTGGCTTTTTCCCATACTTGAAGGGATGCTTCCTTGAAAGTTGTTTTCATTTAAACGGACATTCGTTAGAAGGCTTAAATTTCCAACAGAAAATGGAATAAAACCAGTTAATTTGTTAATACTGAAATCCCATACATGCAGCTTCTCAAGTTTACCAATCTCAGTCGGGATGTTACCAGTGAGTTGGTTTGCCCACATGTTTAAAATATTTAAGTTGATGAGATTTCCTATCCCAGCTGGGATTTTTCCAACTATATAGTTGCTGCCAACAATGAATACTTCGAGTTTCGTTGACAAGTTGCCGATGGATTCTGGAAGCGTTCCACCAAAGTTATTATGATCCAGAGCCAACACCTGTAGATGTGTGGCATTTATCAATGACGAGAGGAAGTCTAAGTCGGCAAGCCCTCCACTTCCAAGACTATTGGCGCCAAAGTTTACAAATCGAATATTATGTAGCTTTTCCATAGTAGGCACTTTTCCTTCAAAACTGTTGAGATCAATTGTAAATACTTCTAGATTCGAAGCATTGGCTATTGAATTAGGGAGAGACCCAGTAAATTGATTATCACTAATCAAAAGAAATTTAAGATTAGGAAGAGTGAAGCCTATATCCGAGGGAAGGCTGCCATGGATATGCTTATTATCCCCCACATCAAAACCTTCAAGATAGGATAGATTGAATATTGAGGGAGGGATGGTACCAAACAACCTATTGCCTGCCAGTGCAATAGTTGTCAAGTTGGTCAATTGGCCAACACCATCGGGGATACTACCACCAAAATTATTTCCGAATGCACTAAGCGCCTCAAGAGATGTTAAGTTCGCGAAGGAATGAGGGATATCACCAGTTAGATCATTTTGTGAGATGAAAATTCTTTGGAGCTTTGACAATGAGCCTAGCTCTGTAGGAATTGCCCCCGCCAGTGTGTTGTGATCAAAATCAAAGCCAAGAAGATTAGAGCAACCAGACAAATTGGCAGGAATTTTTCCATTCAAAGAGTTATTGTGTAAGGCTAAAATTTGTAGCCTTGCCAAACGTCCAAGTTGAGGAGGGATTTCATGAACAAAACTGTTGTTATGGAGATATAGTTTTCTAAGAAAGCTCAGATTTCCGATGTGTGGTGACATAGATCCAAATAATTTTTGGGACTGTAGATCCAACTTGATAACTCTTTGGTGGCGCCGACCACATGTAATACCGTGCCATTCGCAAAAGTGGATGGATTCATTCCATGAGGTCATGACTTGGAAAGGGTCATCAATGATGTTGGCCTTGAATGCAAGCAACGCAAGTTGATCTGTATCGTTCCCTCCCAGCTTGGAGGCTGCTACTATGGTAGAAAACCTTGGGTGCAAAAAACTGAAGCAAGATACAACCATAAAACAATAGAAAAGTGACCATTCTATGCTTAACCTTAAGCATGAAAACCCCATTAGAGTTGAAGAAAACTTATCGCTCCTGCAGTTCATATGAAGGATATGGTTTATTGCATTTCACCTCCTGCATAGCAAAGAAATTACAACTGCTCATGAACTAATCTAAAACATGGATATGGATCATTCTAGAACTTGCAACAATTGAATTATATTGGAGGTTGTACCTGTGCTTGGATTCAAGTGTTAAGATTCTGAATTCCTCTTTTCCCACAGAATTTAATGAGGAGAATGAAAAAGGAAGAGAAAATTCCCAACTGTGACCACTCAGGGAGGTGACGAAGAAATTCAGTCCCCTGCAAGCTGAATTTATGTGCACTTGCTTCCCCCAATTTCACTTAAAAGTGGACGTCGATGTCGTACCAGGAAAGATAGGCTACTTGCTGCCCATTAACATCAGTCACGATAGGTCGCCCACTTTTGAGCGTGGATTCAAAAAGGTCAATTTGCAATGATCTACCCATTTTCAGAATTAAATTTTACTCTCATGCATCTACCTAAAAACTTAAGTAAAAAACTTAGTTTGATATAGAACAATTGGATGGATATGCTCAGATTTCAGAAAATAGAGTAAAGAAAATACAAATTCTCGGGAACTAATCTAAGTTAGGAGCAAGGATCTGTCAAGAACTTGAAAGAATTAAACTATATTGGAGATTGTACCCACTGCCCGGGATATAATTTTTTAGAATATATTTAAGTACAAAATTTATTGAGAAAAACAAAACTTAGAGAAAATTTCAATAGTGTCCACTCATTTTCAATCTTTGGCTTGATTCATGTGGACTTGCTTCCTTGATATGGTGGAATTGCAACAGTCAAACTCACTTCCGTCCCATCTTTTGAAGAAAGGTCAATTTGCAATGATGCAACAATAACGTCCACTAGATTTTTTTTTTCGCAGCTAAGGCAAATCCTCCTATGGCGTTCTCTTCTTGGTCTTACACTTAAGTTAAACTCAAATTTAAGTTTGAACATAAGTTATGCTTGGCCCATTTTATTAGTTGAGTGGAGCCCAAGTTTAAAAAAATATTAATGAATCGAACTTGAATAAGATAATTATAATTTATCTGTATTTCAAGTCGTACTCAGCCCTCTTTGTTAACAAACAAGCCGAGACCAAACAATGCGATGCTAGGCTCGATTCGATTTATCCGTACCCCTAGCTGAAGTTGCCCATCTCCAATACAGACCATAGTCGTGCAAATCAACTATGGAAATGATCTACACTAGGGCTAAACTTTTTGTCAATCCAAATATAGTTGAGATCTTCTGTAATCTATTATGTCTTTATGATTTTTTTTTTCTTGGTAAATATCAATAACACTCCAATAGATCCATATAATTACAGACGCACCTGTTTGATTTTCTGAAATATCATTGCACTTATTTGTAGTTCGTATAAATATTCCACATTGTATACCTACCGTTAGGAGCATTCCTAGCACCTTCACAAGGTTATGTCATCACAGAAAATTCGCTCAATTACACCACTATACCGACTGGATTCTAGTTGGCTTGGGTGGGGCTGAGAACACCACCTTTAACCACTGCCATGTTCGCGGATTTGTATAAGGGATAATTTTATGTGCACCAAAACTTACATCAAATCAACTATAATTCTTGAATCACTAATAAGATTCATTGATCCAACGACTGTAAATGATTTGATTCAAGTGTTGGTATATATTTTTTTTGCAAATAGTATTGCTCTTTGTATAATTAGTGTACATCCGCGGCAGCCCCCATGCAATGCATTAAATTTGCACGCATCTCCTTTCTCCCCCCTGTCCTCCTTACTCTCCATTTTTCCTCTCTCGTGCTATCATTTAGAAAGTTAAATAAATAATTATGAAAAAGTAGTGTGATAAAAGAATTGTGAAACATTAGGGTGCTAAAACTGATTTTTAAAAATATACAAAGAAGCAGTTGAATTTTAACAAAATTTAAACTAGTGGGGCAGAGTTGTATTTCCATGGCCCATTTGTTAGAATATAATTGGATAAACCATATGCTGTAATTAAATAACTAAAAATTCAAAGAAAAATGAAAATTAGGAGACACACACACACAAAATAAAGTAGAGTTGAGTTTGAATTTTGAAAACAAAGAGAAGTTCAGATCGTTTTGAGACAAAACATAAACACATCCAACGGACAACGCAATTCCAACATAAAAGACGGTTCAAATCATCTCAAAAATTTTGATCCGACAATCGACAGTGATTATAAAATTTTGTTTTCCCGCCCAACAATATTTTCTGACTCACATCTTTCTCCCAATCTCTCATGCCCCTCTCTCCCAATCTCTCACACCTAGGGGTGTCTATGGGCCAGCCAGGCTAGGCCCGTGAGTTTTTTTCAGGCTGGGTTTAGGTAGTGTAAGCCCAAACCCTTACCCAAGTGAGTTATCGGGCGGGCGGCCCGAGCCGGTCTTCGAGTAGGGATAGGCTACTTGCAGCCTAAACCGTGAGCCTATTGAGTGGGCTTATAGGTAAGCTTGCTGGACGGGCTTACTTGCAGACTTTTTTATATACATCTTTATTTAAAAATAATGAATATTTTTGTAACTTAATATTTGTGTAAATTATATTTTTGAATCAAAAGTAAAGTCAAAATGGATAAAAATAAAATGATAAACTATATCCAATAGAATGAATAAATCCCAACTAAGTTGACACCTAATAACTTATCTGTCATTTGCATTACTCTATCATTTAAAATTTATATGTTTAATACATGAAAAAGAAAATAATACATTATTCATAATATCTAAATTTTTAAAATTTCAAATTTCGATATTGAAAGACTTATTTTAAAATTTTAAATTTAATGGTCTAAAAGTATAACTTTTTTTCAAATGCATGGTGGCTTGACGGGCGGGCTCCTTGGCCAGGTAATGGGTTTGGGGGCAAACCCAAACCCTCTTTTTAAGAATATCGGGCTCAGGCTCGAGTGGGCCAACTATTGGACCTATCGGGCTTCGGACTTATTTTTTTTGGACCGGGTAACTAGACCCGTGGGTAACCCGACCATTGAACACCCCTACTTACTCATACCTCTATCCTACTTCCAAATATCCTCCTTTGTCAAATATCTCTCTCACACCCAACTTTTTTTCAAATTGCTGCTCTCTTCTACATTGCCACGCCATTGCCACTACCACTGCCCTCTCTGTAGTCTCCCTCTCGTCTCCGCTATTGCTGGAGCAAGCCGTTGCCAATCATCTAGTTGTAGCGGAACCAACAAGACTGTAATGCCACAAAAGCTACATTGGATGACATTACTATTTAAAACCATTCACGTCATGAGAGTAACTAATAAAATCCATAAATAAGGCAAATTTCATTCATCATGCATAATATCTACAACATTATCCAAAAGAATATGTCAAACCATACCATCTACACCCAAAACGAATAAGTCAAACTATGACAATTATATCTCAAAATCAAACTTAATCTTGCATTGGAATAAACAAAATAATATTTATCCATTGTATCAAAATACATCTCCTAGTTTAGGACATGGAGAGATCAACTCTAGACATCCCCCTCGAGGATCCACGTTTTCATCAAATGGCGCTTCCCAAGCTATCTGTTCATCAACTCCGAGCTCTTTATCTAAACCGACATTTGAGAATAAATAGTATTTGTAGGGGGTGAGCACTAAGCTCTGTAGTCACATCCTCCCAAACTTGAACAAGGTTTAAAAAATATGTAAAACAGTTCGGCCTCACTTTCCAAAATATCGTATATACTTTGAAATAAAACAGTGACAATTTATTTGTTAGAGTATGTGTGGCTCATATTTGCTATGTGCATAATGGCAAGGAGGCAGATGCCGGGAAAAAGGACGTCTCTGTCTTGTGTTACAAGTGCGGGAAAAAGGGGCACTTTAAACGGGACTGTCCAGAGAAAAAGAAAGGGGATTCAGAGAACAAATAGGGTGCATCAAAGTCTGCAAACGTAGTGGAAGAAGAAGATTCACAGAGTGGTGACGGAGATATGCTTTCTGTTTTATCTAGTTCAGATCGTTTAACAGATTCTTGGATTATGGATTCAGTATGTTCCTATCACATGACACCCAACAAAGATTGGTTTGACACATACAGGTCAGTAAATTCTGGTTCTGTTCTGATGGGTAATGATGCATCTTGCAAATTTGTTGGAATAGGAAATATTAGAATTAAGATGTTTGATGGTATGGTTAGAACGTTGTGTGATGTTAGACATGTACCGGATCTAAGGAAGAATTTGATTTCATTGGGCACTTTGGATTGTAATGGTTATAGTTACAAATCTATAAGTGGAGTAATGAAAGTAAGTAAAGGCGTGCTGACAGTGATGAAGGGACAGAAAGTAGTAGGAAACATTTACAGACTGTTGGGTACTACAATTGTAGGTGGAGTTGCTGTTGTAGAGTCTGAATCAGATAATACAGTCTTGTGGCATATGCGGCTGGGTCATATGAGTGAGCGTGGGATGATAGAGCTTCATAAGAAAAATCTATTGAAGGGTGTCAAGACATGCAAGCTCAATTTTTGCAAATATTGTGTTTTTGGAAAACAGAATAGGGTGCAGTTCAAGACAGCCACACACAAGACAGTGGGGGTTCTCGACTATGTCCATACAGATGTTTGGGGACCAGTTAGCGTACTATCACGGGGAGGATACATGTATTTCGTGAGTTTCATTGATGATTACTCACGAAAGGTCTGGGTGTACTTCATGCGGCACAAGTCAGAAGCGTTTGCCAAGTTCAAGCTGTGGAAAGCTGAAGTAGAGAACCAGACAGGGAGGAAGATTAAATGCCTCAGGTCAGATAATGGTACTGAGTACACAGATTCAAAGTTCCAGGAGTTGTGTGAGCAGCATGGGATCAAGAGACACATCACAGTCCGCAAGACACCACAACAAAATGGTGTAGCGGAAAGGATGAACAGAACGATAGCCGAGAAAGCTCGGTGTCTCAGGTTGAATGCAGGGCTTGCAAAGAATTTCTGGGCAGAGGCAGTGAATATGACATGTTTCTTGATTAACAGATCACCGAGGGCAGCACTAGATGGAAAAGTATCAGAGGAGGTGTGGACAGGCAGTGAGGTAGACTACTCTGGTTTGAGAGTGTTTGGATGTCCAGCCTATGTACATGTTTCTAGTGAGGAGAGGTCGAAGCTTGATGCGAAGTCTAGACAGTGTATTTTTCTGGGATATCAGAAAGGAGTGAAAGGCTTCAAGCTCTGGGATCCGAAGGCAAACAAGATGGTGATCAGTAGA